CGGGGCGTTACCGCCACCCGGCTGTTAGCGGCGCCTCCTGGCACGAAGTGCCCTAAAATGGCCCCCGGGGGCTGGGGGTGTGCCTGGCGGCTACTGTGTGTTTAACTAGGTTTCCTATGCCCTCTCCTGTGGCACCTTGTTCAGAGGGAAGCGTGTGGCACCTAGCACTACTGAGGAGGTATGTGGGCACTGCATGAGTCCTTTAAACTCCCCTTCAAGTGATACGCCCTGAAGTGGCCTAGCTGTGAGGGCAGGGGCCTGGCTGTCTTCTGTTACCTCTAGTCTCCCTGAATGCCTTAATGAACAGGCTCTGCCGAGGTTTACATGGCCATAAATTAAAATGTGCAATGATGCCCCAGGTAAGTGCCTTTCATTTATCCTTTCAGAGTGACAGTTGGATGTTGATTACTTGTAATGTATGCTGGGGTGGAAAATAATGGTTGAATAAGAGCAGGTCCAAAAGTTACCAGGTGCTTGGTAGTTCACAGTGGGTGTGTGTGCTTCTAGGCACTCCCTGTGGAGAAGAGCATGCCCATAGACCAGTGTTATGGGGGGCAGTTGGCCTAGGGGGGCTTGTTATCTGACAGTAACTTGCATATTCATCTCTGTGCCAAAGCACTGTGAGGCCTTGCCTAGTGAAAAAGCTGAACTGTCTAAATATAAGAAGCACAAGGATGTGTATATGTCTTAGCTTTCAGTGAGAAAGCTCTTTTTAAATCAGCCCTGTTTATAAGAAATGTTCATTTTGAATTTGTTTTTTGGCAAAAGTGGAAATGTGTTGAAGTGAACTCAAAACATCCTGCTTTGGTGTTTTTTGGAAGAAAACATTTTGATTTTTGTTAGTGTTTTTTGCTTAACAATTTTGTATTTAAGCTTGATAATTTAAGAAAGGATTTTTTTTTTTTTTTACTGTATAGTATACTTGAATTTTGAGGTTTTCTTAGGTTTTTTTTAATTTGGGGATGAAAACAAACTTTGCACTCTGAGTGGTCAAACCTCAGTAGTTATAAAGTATTCATAGTTGTTTTGCATGTTTTATAGAGGAGCAGTTGTTGGAGTGAGCTAGGATCTGACAGTAAGCCGTTATCAACATGATTTATAACAGTCAACATATATAATGGCACTCTTTTTTTCAAGTGTTGTAACAGGGTGAATATAGCCAGGCATCTTAAATGTCAGTTCTTAGCATTGATGGCAATTGTATTAAATCATATTGATATATCCACTCTAGGAAGTCATACCAGGATAAACTTCACTTATAAAACTAGAACTCTATGTAAATAATTGTTTTGGTTCACAAAAAGGTTGTGAATTGGGCTGGTTAAAGTACCAATTCTTGCTTTGGTTTGTATACTGTTGCTTTCTGGGATATTGTTGCAATGGTGGCCTTATTACCATTGCTTTGTTATTCTTTCACTTTTTCTCATTTTATGCCTTGTGGTTCTTACTAGGTTTGGAATTTGGTATTATTGAAACCATGGCCAGAAATATTTGCTGTGCTTTGCACCTCAAACTCTCATTCTAGCAAGTTATATGCAAGGTCATAAAACTCAAGTAAATGCTTAGTTAAAAACAAAGGCATTGTAATCTTAAATCATAGTTTTAACTTGAGAGGATTTTTTTGACTATTTTGTTACTTGTCGCTTTAGATATGACTGTAAAAGAATAGTTATGGAAATTTTCTCTCTTACTTTAAATTTTGTTTTGCAAATTTAACAGCATACTATATATAGCTGGTTTCATTTTATCAGCCTTGCTTCCTAATTTTGAGCAACCACACAAAGATTTAGATACTATTGGGAGAAGTTCATGTGCGTATTTTTTTGCATGTATTTGGGCATGCAGATGAGATGGTAGAAATGCCTTAAAATTTCAGAGATTGGTTGCATATGATTTGTTGAATACTGTCTGTACTTCTGCATCCTTCACCTCAAAAAGATACATTAGAATTGCAAGCTTCAGTGAAGATCAAGAATGGCTGAAGGTATGGAGCAGCTTACTTACAGGGGTCAAGCTGCGGAGTGGGACTTCTCAGCCTGAACAAGGATGATGTGGAGGCATTCTGAAAAAGATCCACAGAATCATACATGATATGGAGTTGATATATAGAAATGAATGGGATATGATCTCGTTAATACTCAGTTTAGGTTGTAGAATCCAAGTTTATAGCAGGCAAAGTTTCTCATGCAATAGAGAGCAGACCTGTGAAACTCCTAGTCAAAAGACTGAATGCAAGAAGCCTGCATGTGTTGAAGGGGGAATGGAACAGGTATTTGGAAGAGAGATCCCCTGGGGATTACTAAATAGACAACCACACCTGGCTCAGGAACTCTACAGAACTAAAAATAGTTTAAGCCTGGAAAATTTTACAAGAGTTATTCTATATGCTCGTACTACATTTACTGTTACCAGGATGTCAACTTATGGCCTCTGGTCATTACAGAGTAGTGGGCTAGGTGGACATTCTTATGTTCTTTTATTGTATATAATCTAATTATATTAAAAATTTAAAATATTATCACCAATCTAATTAATATGCTGAAGAAAATAATCCTGTGAGGGTACAGTTCCAGGAACTGGGGAAAATGGCTCAGGAAATGATGAGAAGAACATACTCTCCATCAGGTTTTTGCACTGAGGCATAACTATAGGGGAAAGTGGAGTTTCTTGCTTTCAGGACTTCCTCTTTTCTGTTCCTTACCTCTCTGAAAAATAACTGAGTTGTATTTCTATTTCTTGTCTCAGCACTAAATCAGTACACACAGAAGTGCACAGAAAGGTGCATTGCCACTGATCATAGGTGTGAAGTACAAATACTTGTTCTGATGCAAAATTCTCTCTTGCTGCTTTCCATTAAAACACCTGTCCCAGGTGCCTCTCACTGCTGCTGCTAATGCTTTTTCACAGAAGTAGCAGGATGATATTCCAACAAATAAATAAGAACAATAAAAGCTCTGAAATAAATCATCCATATCAGTTTCTTTGGTTTGGGAAAGCTTAGTACAGGAAGGCTGAAAATTGTTTCCACATACTCAAAAAGACAAGAACAATGTCTCAGTTCAAGTTGAAAAACTTCCTATGCAACTGTTATTTCCTAGGTCTTTCTCCTTTTACTATAAAGAGCAAAAGCCTTATATTTTCTAATAAAGATACTTTGTTGGATGTTTCCTTGTCAATTTGTTATGTATTCTCCAAGCTCTGATGTGCTGTTGTTCTTATCCTTCTCTTTCCAATCTCTGTTAGCAGCATATACTATTTAAAAAGTTGTTTTTTGTATGTGAAATGTAAAAATGAGATAGCTGAAAATGAGCTGTTCATTTATTAATCTGTTTTAATAATTGTTGTGCTGTATTGAGGTTGTACTCAGAAGATATAGAGGAACAGATGTTACAGCTTCAGACTCGACTGCTATATAAGGAAATTGAGTGATTAGCCACTTTGAACAACGTAGGCAAATGCTATTCTACTATATGTTTTTAAAGCACACCTCTTGTTCTAGAAGCCAGCTCTTTTTAACCCTTTTAGACTTCCTTAGGAGAAAGATGATGTTTTCATACTTGATTACATTTGTAAAGTAATTTATTAAAGCTGCAGTACTAGATGCAAGTAGATCAGAAATGCATATAGTATGTGGATGGGCCACCTGAAATTCAACCTGGAAAAGGTGCCATAGAATCCTATGGTTCGTTCTATTGGTCACTTTGACCAAGTCACCTGGTTTGTTAATTGGACTCTAAACCTGCAGGCATCAGCATATCCATGTTTGTTTGTGTGGGCTCAAGGGAAATCTTCATGGAGTAACTTAATATATCTGAGTCTTTCTACCTCAGATTCTTTAATACAGACTTTCATATGTTTGTAAAATAGCACTGTTTTAACAAACTGTAACTTTATGTGTAGCTCAGCATTTGGTTCTAAATTGTAACCAATACCATAGGTCTAGTGCTCCCTTCAATAAAATATTGTATCTTATGTTGTATGTATTTTGTCAAATTTGTATTAAATGTTTTGAATAGTGTGACAAAATGAAATATTTTGTGCTTTTGGACAGATTTTCATTATGCTGTTTGTTTGTTTGTTTTTCTCATAGATAGATGGTACATTGGAAACAAATGCCTTGCTTCTTGTCTTGGCAATGGGAAACTTTATGAAGGAACAATAACGCCTATTGAAAAGGACAAGGATGAGAAATCATTTGCTGTTGTATCGTTCTTGGAGTCTGAAGAAAGGAAAATACTAATAGCTAAACTTCATAGTCTAAGCCAGAAAAGGTCCCTGGAAAAACTTAATATTTGATGATGATCTGGAAAAGCCTAATTTTTCTGACTGAAATCTTCCATCTCCTGCAGTTGCTTTTAATTTATCTGAGAATGGGGATTGTATCCTGTATATGATTAACAGATATCTGTGTGATTATCAAAGGGAAGGAGCCCAATTCCTGTATGGACACTATGTTAATAAAAGGGGATGTGTTCTTGGAGATGATATGGGCCTTGGAAAAACAACAGTGTGGTTTTTTTTTTTTTTCTTTAATGGTTACATTGAGAGAATGGATTCTTTCTTTAGGAGTAAGTTATCTGTGAGATGTAAAAAAAAAAAATAAAGTATTTAAGAACGGCCACCTCAGCAGAGCCTAGCCTCCCTTTTGTGGTGGGGAATTGGAGAAGGCAGAATGTGATCATTCAGGACTGTACTTAGAGCCAAGAGCCATTGCTGATTTAAGACCCACTCCTTACAGGCTGCAAAACTGAGATGTGGTCCCTCTTACTATAAGGCTGGGTGGTTATAATAGTTAGTGTTACTGTTCATTTTATATTGAATGTATTTTGAGGATCGTTATTTGGGCATAATGAAAGTAATTCACATTAGAGTATGTTAAAAGTACTTTACACCTCTTACCTGACCATAGCAGTTAAAATATCTTGCTTTTTTCCTGAAAACAAATAGTTTGACTCTACTAGGAAATAAAAAAAAAAAAAAAGCTGCATGTACTCCCATCTCTACAAAAAGCGTTAAGATTTTTCCATGTTATTATCACTCTATTGGAAATATAACTTACATTGATGAAAGGTCAGAGTAATAGCTGGGTTTTTCTATTATGCTTTGAATTGGTGTAACTGAATCATTCATTTATTTTACTAAAGGTAGGGTGTTTTTAGGTTTGAAATAATTCTCTTTAATCAGGCTTTTTTTTAAAGTCTGCATCTTGAATCCTAAGTTGCCCTGTTTTTGTCTTTGACGTTTGTGTGCGTCAAGCTCATTCCTCCACTGACAAATGCTGGCTGAAGACTCTGTTTTCCTTCTGTTCGGGAGAATATTGACAAACACTCTTCAGTGTGAAAAAAGTTTTATTCTCTTGTGAAGTTTGCTACAGAATAAATTAAACTGGCAAAACTTCTCTGGACAGAGTGTTTAGAGGTGTATCATGGATATGTGTAGCTAATGATGATCTGTTCAGATGTTAATTACAACTGAACTGCCTTTATTTGCCTTGTGTTTTACCTGATCTTGGCCACATTTCTTGTCCATGGCAGTTTAAGAACTTGGTAAATATGCAAGTGTATTAGTACTCAGAATTGCAATTATCTTAATTCAGTGTAATAAAAATATGAGATAGTAGCAAATTGAAAAAAGTAATTTGAATTGTCTTGCTTCTCTTGTGTTTTCTGAATCTCAGAGCTGATTTTTGTAACGGCCCTGTCATGTTTATCATGCAACAATTGTGTGTTACTTTGAATTCCCTTGTGGAATTCTCATTTGATGGCTATTTAATCACAATATCAAGTTTGCAGAAGAAAAATGTTTTTGAAGAATATTGTATTTATAAATACAATACTTATGTTCTTAGTTTACCATATGAGGAAGTCACTTCAGTGCACATGAAGTAAAACAGGATTTCACTTGTTCAGAAAATATTAGTATGTATCAAATGAAATGTTAATTAAAATTCATTATGTAGCAATTAACTGATTTATAGTCTTATAGAAAATTTGTTGTATGCTTGTCCATTAAGACTGGAGAGGTTTGGCCAAACTATAGCATGATTTCTGAGAAAAGGACTTTTCTAGAAGTCTTTTGCATTGTAATGTTCTTTCTACTTCTCAGCAGATTTTTGCTTAAATTGGTTTGGCTGTCTGGCATAGGTGAATCTGTTAGGCTTGCTTCAGAAATTCCAATTTTTAGCAAGTTTTAGGAGTGTAAAACTCATAAATAAACTAGTTTATATAGCAGGCACCAAAAGTGCTACAAGTTCAGTTTTCAAAATAGTCACCTGAAATATACAGGACTTCCTCAGGAAAGAGGTTTCCTTTTAAACATGCCTGGTTTCTGCATTTTGCTTCTTGAAGTAACATCAAAGTGGAAATGAATTTGTTCTGAGATTAATTTTGAGATGGCTTTATACATATGAATGTTGATAAATCTCTTTCTAGGGACTTGATGACTTAAAAATTAATATCACATTACAGGTCATTCTACCTCCAAGTTCTATGCTTGAGCTGACTGCAAAATATCTTTCAGTCACTGTTCCTACTTATGTTCCTCTCTGTCTCAAAATCATAAAATATTAAGAATCCTCTGCCTTGTTGGTACCATATATCTATCAATGAAGTTGAATTATGCTTTCATGTTGGTACCATGCTGGTGGAAAAGATTTCAGTCTACTTTTATTTATGCTGGATGAGTTTTGGGAAAATGAAGGTCATTTTTCCTTTACCATGTTTCAATAGTTTACCAAAAAACGCTAAAAAAAAAAAAAAAAAAAAAAAAAAAAAACCAAATTTAACCTATGAGTGGAATTTAGTGCTGGTAAGAGGTACTGGGTTGATAGCTCCAGAGATGGAAAGCTGCTTTCTTTCACAGAAAACATTTGATACAGTCAACAGTAGTTCCATCTATTTGACTATGTAGTTCAGCCATTAGGCTTAAGTATGACCATTTAATTTACTAGGCAACTAGAATATAATGAAACTGAGTAATATAATGTAGTGTAAAATAGGAAAAACATAAATATTTATTTTGATTATAGTAATCGTCACTACTTATCCCACAGAACTGAGTCACATGATTGGATAAATAGTTTTCAGTTAAGATCTCGTTGATCTGCAGCGTAGAGTGGTCTGTTGTCATTGTGGATGAAGCACATAGAATCAAGAAAGGCTCAAATAACTCAAACCATAAAGGCATTAAAGTGCAGTGTTCACATAGGTCTTACTGGAACCCTTCTTCAAAACAATATGAAGGAACTTTGGTGTGTCATGAGCTGATAAAAACAGTATCTTTATATATGGTTAAACACACATATATCTTTGCCATGTGCTGGGGTTGGGCTAGGGCTATGTCAAAAAAAACCCCAAGGTCCTTGTGAGAATATCAGTGTGTGTGTGTGTGTGTATATATTTTTTTTTTTCCATGTGTATATTAGGTAAGCTCCTGGTAGATCTCATCTACAGTATGTATTTTGCAGGTATTTATTAAATTTGGAGCTCTCTTCATCACCTTGATTCTTTGGGGAATTTGGGAAGCAGATACTTTTTCCTACCTTTACCTTTCTTTTCTAAGGGTATTCTTTTTTCCCATTTTTCTCTTCCTCCACACAGTAGTTAGAATCATTTTGCAGCTTTGAACTGCCTGTGCCTTGTCCAATGCATGCAGGTTGTTCTGAATTACTTGGAAATTGAAAATAATAATATTTTGCTATTTTTTCAAAATGCACATATTTACAAAGCAACAATTCTTGTCCTGGGAAGATTTTAAAGGAGAAGGGGAGATGGAAATAAACCTAGATATAAATCCAAACACAATAGTCTTATTGGGTACACTTTACAAAGGAGAAACAAAGCAAACGTATCTTAAATGTGAGTGTCAGGAAAAAATTATTCAATGCTAAGCTTAGTGTTGCATCCAGTCCGTTAAAACTATGGTGGTGGTTGTAATAAACTGTTCCAAGCTACTGTGCTGCCAAGGATTACTGAATTCTTCTTCTTGTTGGGTTTCTTAAGATTTTAATTAAATTATAATATCTATATAACCTGATTTTAATAAAAACAAACTATTGCAAACATGACTGCTAAGCTTTGTATTTAGGCTTCTGAATAATAGCAGCCCTGTTCTTTGAAGGTTATCTATACTTGTGACTTATGTTGGCCTACTGATGTTTAGTTTTCCTGGAGATGGTGCCCCTTTTCCTAAGGGGGCTCTCTTTAAGATTTGAGGATCACAGTGAATAAATGAAAAAGCTGAATGTCTGGAAGTAGTATAAGATATGTTTCTATTTATATGCGCAACTCTATTCATTTCCCTGGTGGTTGTTTCTGGCTAACAGCAAGAGATCTTAAATTAACTATCTATAGTATGCCTTTAATCAATGGAAAAGGATAGTATGCCTTGAAGAAAAAGTCTTGTTTCCCCCCCCCCCCCCCCCCCCCTTTTTTTTTTTTTTTTTAAGTAGGGCAGTACCAGGACTTTTGGGTACTAGAATGCATTTCAAGAAGAAACTTTCTGATCCAGTGGAGCATGGCTGGAGGCACACTGCAGCTAAAAGAGAGCTAGCAACAGGTTGCAAGGCCGTGCTGAAGCTAGCAAGGAAAAACATCTGGCTGGTTCCTCGGACATACTAAAGCTCTTATCAGTGATCAGTTGCCAAAAAAGGAAGACAGAGTAGGAGCATCTGCCCATTTCAAATACAACGCTAATGAATGTATCTCATTGTTGTGTTTTTCTCTCTTTCTTCATGCCTCTAGTAGTTTATGGTTTTCTTTTGGACTTAAGAAGAATCCAGAGCCTTGGAAAAAAATGCACATGCAGTAGTGTGCTTTGTTCACATAATTACTATGATTGCATGTTGAAATGGAGTTAATTGAGCATGAAAATGCTCAGCTAGACTTCTGACTAGTGATTTACACATCTATTTTATGTGCACTTTTGTAATTATCTGTGTAAATCCACTGCAATGTATGTAAATCTCTTGAAATTCTATGCAGGACTTCTGAATTCGAGACCTGGTATTTTGTGCACAGAACAATTTGCTTTTAACTCCCTTGTTTTCAGTCATTAAAAAAAAATCAAAAAACCAATCCCTAAAACTGGTTGTTATAGGTCTGTAATCCTATTCATCTGATGCTATTGTAAACATGTAAAGAAAAAACACTTTATGACTATAGATAAGAGTTTTGATGAATGCTTATTAAATATATTTTTGCTTTCCTTCTAAGTAGATAAATTTGCAGCTGTCTTTGTTTTCAAAATTTGGTATTTGTTCTTCATTCTTAGTGTATAATAATGTCATCCAAACTGTCTTCTAAAGGAAAGATTAACAGAAATGTCAGTCGATTGCTCTTCTAAATCTAGCAGGTTTTATTTTTTTCATTCTCTTGTTAATGTGAGAGTATACGTTCAAGTTACTGTGCTATTATTATAGCACAGCATGGTGCTGCTGCTGCGTGGGTGGCCTAGGTTAAGGACTGATCTTGGGATTTCTGTCTCCTGCTTAAGACTAAAGATGTCACGGAGATGTCACCCATGGCCTCTAAGAGGAGGGATAAGAGTTTTGGTCATAGCAGTGTATAGATCCCTGCCTTCTCATTGCTCTGGCTGCCACAGGCCACCATTAGATTGAACTGTATTTTATTTGTTCTGCCTGTGGTAGTGCCCTACAACAGCTAGCGTCGAAGAAGGAGGAAAGAAAGGGTAAATTAAGCAACTGGCAAAAAGGGAGGAGAATTCTTAATTACAGTTATGCATTTATTGCTCGCTCTCTTCCCTCCTCCATCCCCCCACAAAAGCTCTATTGAGAAGTTTATGGAAACCTAACAGTAGATTGTTGTAGCTCAATATTGATACTCTCTGTAGTATTTTGAGAGGGGTTAAATAATTATAGATGCATTTTTGGCTACAGTGTTCTGTGGGTGTTTGTGTGTGTGCACCAAAATCCATTAGAATCATTTCCTATAACTATTTGAGCAAATACGTGTTTGTTTTCTACTTTACATTTTGGTGTTCCTTGTTGTTGTTGTTGGGTTTTTTTTTTTTTTTTCCTGAAATGCCCTTTGCTGTTCATTGTATGCTGCACGTAATTGTGATGAAGAACTGATTCAAATGGCTTCATGGTTGTAGGCCATGACCTGGGTACAAGTTTAATGCTCACATCTTTATTTTTGGGAAATCCCATCTAGAAACATGGGTGATTGCATCAGAAGCACAGTGAAAGTCAGGCACCTCAGGAGCACAGCAAAGCTGCTTTGCATGCCCTGAACAGATGGTCATTATATACGCAGTAAGTTCTGGATGTGTTGGATTAATAGGTTTGCCTGTGACTCAGTTGATGGTGGCAAGCATACTGTGCTGGTATGTGTCAGATATGCTGCTCCAATGCAGATCAACTGGTCAGTGTAGAAGCTGCAAACCAGAGATATCTTGGACCTAGCAGCTTGTTTGGCCTCTGATTGTATTAGAGCTGCAGTTGGGGTTGTGTCTTCCTTTGCCAGTAAATAGATGTTCCCTTTGCTTCACTGAAGGGAGAATTGTGATAGCAGCCAAGTTAAAGCACAAGTAGAGCTTATTCACTAAAGTGACAAGTCCTACAGATTTCTTCCATCTTCTCTGGACTTCTTGTAATGCTTGATTAATCTAGTTTGTATTTGTTTTGTCTCTATCTTTCAATAGACTGAAATTAATAGCAAATAATAGCAGCATATGTCT